CGTGAGGTCAAGCCCCACCTTGATCTTTTTTTTTTTTTTAAACAAGTAAGATGACTGGGGCATCTGGGTGGCTCAGTCAATCGAGACACCGATTTGGGCTCAGGTCAGGATCTCATGGTTCATGGGTTTGAGCCCCACGCGGGGCTCTGTGCTGACAGCTCAGAGCCTGGAGCCTGCTTCACATTCTGTGTCTCCCCCTCTCTCTCTCTCTCTCTCTCTCTCTCTCTCTGCCCCTGCCCTGTTCGGCTTTGTCTCGCTCTCAAAAGTAAATAAACATTAAAAATAAATAAGATTACTTAAATAAATCAACTTAAAAAAAAAAAAGGCTCACACCCCGATTTGGCCCCCCCCCCCCCAACCCCCGGTCTATTTCGGTGCTTCAGAGCGCGGATTGCTACAGGGCAGGACTTTGATTGGCCAATTCTAGGCCACGTGATCAAACCCGACCAATCGGCTCTGCCCAGGAAGACCGGGCCGCTTTAGGACACCGCGGGTCCCGGGGAGAGTCGCGAGGTTGAAGCTGTGGCCACGGGAGTAGCAGTTTCTAGAAAAAAAAGTGGAGTAGGGTACAGGGCCGATAGAAATGTAGGGGTGCGCTCCTAACTGCGGGTGACAGAGAACTTGGCCCCGAAAGCTTCGACGGTGGGGAAGCCCTCGGGGCTGGTGATTGGCCCCGTGGTGTCACCACTGCTCAGCAACTACAGTGGCAGCTTCATCTTAAGGCGGGTACCCTCCTGGCCATCAGGTGGCTCCCTGGCGCAGCCATCTACCAGGTGCGAAGAGAAAGTGTGACCGGGACGCAGGTTCCTCCCTCCCGTCTGAACGGGCCCACAGAGGGGTCGCACGCCACTGCCCACCAGTGAGCGTCACCGGGGTGGGGGAGGGGGCGGGCGCTGGCCTCCACCAACTTAGGTTTGGGCACCTGCGCCAGGCCTGGTGCGGAGGACGGGAGGCCGTGATCAGCTGTGTCACGGGGACCCACCCTGGAACCGCGGCCCTTGCTCCAACAATTCGGACCCCCGCCGCGGGGCGTGGTGTGGAAGGTACACGGGGCAGGGTCACCCTGCGGCGTCCCTCATCTCACGGCCGGTCTGCCTCTGTCGTGCAGGGGTCCTGTGGCTGTCGGTGGTGTCCGAGGTGCTGTACATCCTCCTGCTGGTGGTCGGCTTCAGCCTCATGTGTCTCGAGCTCTTCCACTCCAGCAATGTCATCGACGGGCTCAAGCTCAACGCCTTCGCAGCTGTCTTCACGGTGCTGTCCGGTAAGGCGGAGGGCCTCTGGCGGTGGGGCCTAACCCTGGACCTCCGGCAGAGCGGAACGTGGGTGCTGGAGCCGCCCCCGGGCCGAGTCCTGGCTGTTCCCACCGGGTGACCTTGCGCCCATCACTCCGCTGCTCTGAGCCTCCGCGTTACGGTTTTAAAACAGGATTTGCGCGCTCGGGTACTCATTCAGTGGTTATTGAATATCGTGTGCCAGGTACCGTGCTAACAATAAGGACTGGGGCTTTCCTAACGGAGGGACCGTTCCAGAGCCCGTGGAGTTTAACAGGTGTGGGAGAGAGAGGTGGGTTAGCCTGACGTGTATTCAAGGGATGACCACCCCACGCCCTCGTGGCGGACTGTATTTGTGGGACAGGGCACAGGGAGGTGGTGTATTGGCATGAGTGGATGATGTTGTCTTCCATAGAGACATAAAGGGGGGGCCCGTTTTGGGGTGGCCCGCACATCACTCATCTGCTTTGGCTTATTTGCCTTTGAGACAAACGTGTGGAAGCTGGAGGGGAGCAAACACATCTAGAAGCTCAGCTACTAGTGTGGGGTGGGCAGAGACGGTGCGTAAAGGCCGCAGAGCCAGGGGTTTTGGGGGCTTTAGGGGGAACAGGATGGTCAGGACATTGTGACTCAGGGAGCCGGAGACAGAAGACTCCAAGAAAAGGCCATTGGATTAGGTGGCCAGGAGCCCAGAGTTGGTTCAGCAGATCCAGGTCACGAGGGGTTAAGCAGGGAATGTGCCAGAGAGGAGTAAAAGGAGCCTCCAAACCATAACTTCAGGCAGCCTGACAGATAGAGTGGTGGCTTGGCTGTGCAAGACATCTGTTCCTAAAAAGCCAAGTGTAAATTGAATTTCTATAAATCTAATCCTATTCTTCATGCGTTGGAAGAAGCCTCTATTTAATGAAACCGAAACGAGGCGCCTTTTGGTAAGGGACATAATCTCCCCCTAACTGAAGTATGTGTGTACAACAGAGAGGTCCCTCAAAGATTGAGAGCTGCATCCAAGAGATTACAGCACGCTCCGCAGATGAAAACACGCGTGACTTGGCGTTCTCAGGATGTGGAAATCTGACCATCATAGCAAAAGAAAGAAAAGAGAAATAGAGTGATCGTCATCGCCAAGGGTCAGTTTTGGTTCCCAGCTCTTGGGCCGAGGACGATTCTGGACCTGTGTGTCCTGTTTGGGGGTGGAGTGGGGATGGGTGGGGTGGGGCATGAGACTTGGAAAAAAACCAAAGAGTTTGCTTGACGGACAGCTTGGGGAAGACAGTGCAGATAGAGGGAACAGCATGGACAAGGGTGGCATATTCTGGAAACCTTGAGTAGGTCAGAATGACAGGAAGGCAGAGTAGGGAGAGCACAATTGACAGATGAAATCGGACAGCTGGGTGAGGGTCTTGGTGCTTTGCAGTGATCCTTAGATGTTACCATGTAGCTGACCGCGCTGAGAATCCAGAGCAGAGGGGGATAACGGTCAGGTTTGCATTTCGGGGTGAGGGTTCGGGCTGCGGCGTGGACAGAGCAGAGCAAGGGTGGAGGTGAGGAGACCGGCCCCGAGGTGAGAAAAGATGAGGCCCCACCCGGGTGCGGGGGCAAGGGGAACGCGGGACGCGGGCACACACACCCTCCAGCTAGGAGGCGAAGTCAGGAGAGCCGGGTGAGCCCGGAAGACAGAGAACCCAGGTCAGCTGCCTGGTTTGGAATCCACACAGTCCGGGGGGTCCATGAGCCTGGTGGGGAAGAAGTTCCATCTGTAGTTCTCTAACTTGTAACGGACACTTAGGCTGTCCTTCAAATGTGAGTGGAGGCAACAGAACCCTGTAGGGGGCAGTAGCTATGACATAGTCACCAATAATCATCTATATTTTTCCTATCGCGCTGTCATTGGGGCAGATACCCTGAAATGCTTTCTTTCAAAAGTGTGATAATGCCAGAGCTTCTGCTGCATCTTGTTACCTCGCGTGTTAACGAAGAAGCACATATATTCCCATGCCACGAACTCGTTTGAATGTTTCGCTAACTAGATTTCCATATAAGGGGTTTGCTTTATAATCCCACGTATTTTATTTTGTGTATCCGGAGACGCTATTCTCAGGAGGGACCTAGAGGTCCAGATGGCCAGAGCCCCTGATCTTGTGTCCTGTGGCCGGCATCTGGGCAGGGACGGGATGGTCCCGGACCCCCAAGATGGGAAGGTAGGAAAAGCAGGTAGTGGGGGTGATGGATCCGATCTGAGCAGGTGCAGTGTGATGTGCTGTGGGGTGTCCAGTCTCCTCTCTCTTGTTAGCAGCTTCACCTTTTCTTTCCTCTCCCCACTGCAAGCATCGAAGAGTCCCCTTGTCCCGGGCACCCAGCCCTCCCCCTCAACCTGCTCATTCCAGTCACAGAACAAAAGCGGGTGGGCGGCCCAAGGCAACCATCCCCAAGTCTTCAAGCAGACCTCTCTTGGGGTAGGAGGTGGGGGCTCCTTCCCCTGCCTCAAAGGGCTCATCAAAGCTTTCACCCCTCAAAAAGCCTGCCCCCAGGGGCCCACTGCTGAAGAAAATCAGATTGTCTTCAGTAATTTCAGACACATAAACAATACAGGGCTCAGGGAGGTTAATTGACTTGCCCAGGGTCACACAGCTGGTCAGTTACGGAGCCAGGATTAAACCCAGCTCCTGCTGGCTTCAAAGCCCCGTGCTCTTTTCATAGGATCCGAGCTGCAGGGGTGACCGGGCTGGAGGGAGAAGACTTTTAAGTCTTCAGAAAACAGTAACTAAGAAGCATGTGTGAGCCAGCTGACGTCATGAGACAGAAGTAGCGAGTGGTGGAGAGAAAGGATTTTATACTCAAGCCTGGGAGAAGATAAGTTGGGGGGGGGGGGCAAAAGGACACTAAGAGAGGGCTGCGTGGCCCTGGAGCCCCCGGCCTTTCCGGAGCCCCCTGAGAACAGGGTAAGGGGTGGGGAGGGGCCCGGAGGAGGGGGGTGGCCTTCGGGTTTGCTCTGATGGGAGGGAAAGGAGTGTACAAGCCCCGTGACCAAGTCCTCTGATGCTGCCAGCCCAGCTTATGCCGAGGGGTCTTCAGCCCAAGGTCAACACCTTCTATGGTAGACGGGAAAGCAGAATTGGGGCAGCCCCTGCTGTACCCAATTATTATGATCAGTTATTATAATGAACCAAGTGATTATGATTCATGGTATTAGCCAGTGCTGGCGAGGTGCCACCGTGCACTGGCACGGGGTTCAGCCTGCCACACGTGTTAGCGTCTTTACCCCTCATGGTGCCCTTGCAGGGGAGGGTCTGACCCTGCGTGTGTTCCGCAGTTGGGAATGCCGACTTGCCTGCAGTCACGTAGCTGCTAGGCTGTTGGACCCCCAGCCGAGCCTGCCCTATAAAGTGCTTTGAGTAGGGCTTAGCACCTGGGACTCTTGTCGTTATGATTAGCCCCCACTGTTTTCCAATAAGCTGAGGGGCAGATCACGGCCCCAGGGACCAGCCCCGCCACAGCCACAGCGAGGCCCAGGGGTTCATGCTCTTCAGCGAAGGGAGGAGCTGGTGACAGGTTCCGGCCAGCGAGGCTGTGTTCCTGGCACAAGGTGGTTGTACAGACAGGGACGGCCCCTGAGGCCTGGGTGTGGGGGCTGTGGTTGCTGGCCCACTGGCCCAGGGCCTAGGGCTCACAGTACTTTTAGGGCCCCACGAAATGTTTTAATTTTGACTACTTTTCAAATTGGGAGAAAAAAAAAATTAATGTAATAATAATGAAATTGTAAGAGTGAATCCAGACCGGATCATAATTGTTCTTCTACTGTTGCAGTCATAACATACAAGTTTTACCATTTCTTTAAAAAAAAAAGTTTTTTTTAAATGTTTATTCTTGAGAGAGAAAGAGACACAGAATGTGAGCAGGGGAGGGGCAGAGAGAGAGGGAGACACAGAATCCGAAGCAGGCTCCGGGCTCCGAGCTGTCAGCACAGAGCCCAATGTGGGCCTCGAACCTGCGAACCGTGAGATCAGACCTGAGCTGAAGCCGGGTGCTCAACCGACTGAGCCACGCAGGTGCCCCTACCATTTCCTTTATGGAGGAGACAAAAGTGCTTGGGGCCCCTGCACGTCTTGATGTGACCCTGCAGTGGGTCACAGCTTTTCTCGGGCTCTCGGGACTGAGCAAGACCGATTCCAGCACAGGGGGGTGACTCCAGCTAGCAGCGTCCCCTTGCCCAGTCCTGCGACTTCAGCCAAGAGGTGCTGGGAAAGACAGAACTCCCTGTTTCTTTCCCCAGTGACCAGAGTCTTAACACAGCAGAAGGGGTGTGCGAGCAGGCTGGAAGATGTCCGTTTTTCCCCAGTCCCTCTGAAAAATGAGACAGATCCACTTGGGAAAAACACAAAGTCATTTGGAGAGTCCCTGCACGGTCGAGCTAACTGTGGGCTTTTAGTAAAAACTGCGGTGGCACAGAAAGAAACGTGACCAATTCTGGGAAATAATCAGAGCTCGTGCAGAAGCCAAAAGGAGCATTTTGTTAAGTAAGAAGGGAAGGAGATTTTGCAATAAAACAAACAAATGGCCAAGGTGAGGTTGCTGTTTGGAATTGGGTTTCAGGAGCCATTTTCAGAGCGAGGTATGAATTGAAGAGGGAGCAGCTCCACGGCCTGCAAGGTGGAAATTGCAGACAGAGGCTTAGGGACCTTAGAGCTTCTCTGTGTGGTGATTTGTAACTTCTTACCATAAACCATCACTTACTATTTTAGGATGAGTTTCTTGATAATTCTTGGGTCTGTGCTAAAAAAGAATCCCACATTAATAACCCCCTTTCTTCAGTCTCCCTGCTCTGGTCAGACCGGGTCTTTTGTCCCTAACCTAGAAGCAAGTACTTTTGTGTATTTTTGCATCTAACAATACAGAGAGTCGAAGTCAGAGAAAAGAGTTTTTCCATATGATTAAGCATTCTTTTGCTTGCAAGTGACAAGAACCCAATTGTATTAGCTACCAGAGAAAAGAG